AGGAAGGAAGGAAGGAAGGAAGGAAGGAAGGAAGGAAGGAAGGAAGGAAGGAAGGAAGGAAGGAAGGAAGGGGCTTCTTATTCCTCGTGGCCTTGGGGCTGCTGGGAGCAGGGGGTGGGGCTTGTTGCATGTGCTCTTTACTGCCTGGGCTCTTTAGTGCCGGAACTCCGCTCCTGTGCGCTCCTGCAGAAAATGACCCCTACTCGTAATCATTTTAGTTTCCCTTTTCTGCACTTTTTCCAGTGCTATATCTTTTTCGAGGTGCGCTGACCTGAACCGTACGTAGTATTCCAAATGTTCCACTAACAGTCGTGTTTCCCTAACAAATTCAGTTGTGTCTCCCACTAGCAGCTGTGTTTCCCGGCCAGTCCCCTTAGGCAAGAGGCTTCTATTAATCTTCAGGTTCATGCTTCAGTGGGTCTGCGTCTGTCAGTAGGAAAATGCAGACTCCAAAGTGCTACCGATATCAATAGAGATCAGTTCCCCTGGAGAAAATAGCTGTTTTGGAAGGTAGATTCCATGGCATTATACCTTGATGAGGCCCCTCCCCTCCCAGAACTTTGCCCTCCCCAGGTTCCACCCCCCAAGATCTCCAGGAACTTCCCAACCATGAGCTGGTAAACCTATTTTCTACATCAGTTCCTTCCTTTCCCCCTTACACTGAGATTTGCATGTGTAATCCACACCAAATCTTAACTCCTCCACCCCTAATCTGTGAGCCAGTTTGTTGTAGTGGTTAAGTGCGCAGACTCTAATCTGGGAGTACCGGGTTTGATTCCCCACGCCTCTACTTGCAGCTGCTGGATGACCTCGGGCAAGCCATTGTTCTCTCAGAGCTGTTCTCTCACGAGCAGTTCTCTCAGAGCTCTCTCAGCCCCGCCTACCTCACAGGGTGTCTGTTGTGGGGAGGGGAAGGGAAAGGAGTTTGTAAGCTGCTCTGAGACTCCGAGTAAAGGGCGGGGTATAAATCCAATCTCTTCTCTTCTTCTTCATTGTGTATCTGTCAGACAAAGTGAACTGTGACACATGTCACAGGATGGTGAGAAGGTTGGAATCCAAGTCTTATGAGGAAAGGCTGAAAGAGTTGGGTATATTTAGCCTGGGAAAGAGAAGGCTTAGAGGGGACATGATTGCAGTCTTCAGATATTTGAAGGGCTGTCCTGTAGAAGATGGAGCAGATCTATTCTCTCTTGCTCCGGATTGCAAGACTAGATCTAATGGGTGGAAATTACAAGGGAGTTGATACCAGCTAAATATCAGGAGAAACTTCCTATGTAAGGGTGGTTGAGCAGTGGAACAGACTGCCTCGGGAAGTGGTGGATGCTCCTTCGTTGGACGTTTTCAAGCAGAGGCTGGACGACCATCTTTCGAGTATGTTGTAGGGCTATCTTTCAGCTGTGCTCCTGCAGAGTGCTGGGGGTTGGACTAGATGACCTGCAAGGTCCCTTCCAACTCTAACATCCTATGATTCTATGAAACTCCTACTGAGATCCATCATGGTACAGTGGATAGAATATTGGACTACGGATCTGGGAGACCCAGGTTCAAATTTCTACTCTACCATGAGAGCTCGCTGGGTGACCTCGGGGCAGTCACCTTCTCTCAGCCTAACCTACCTCACAGGGCTGTTGTGGGGGTGAAATGGAGGAGAGAAAAAGACTGTTACGACTGTTACCATCTGTCCTAGCCCTTATTACCAACTCGCCGTGAGTGCCAAAATGGTGGTACTGCGTGGAGCTGTGGCCACTAAGGATTGCCCTTGTTAGTTGTTGTGGAGAGCACTTATGTTGCACTGAATGTTTTTAAAATGCAGTTTTAATCTTTTATGTATTGGGCATTGGCCCCATCTGTACACCGCCCTGAGCCCGTTCGCGGGGAGGCCGGATTATAAATGTAAATAAATACATAAATAAATAAATAAATAAATACTGTAAGCTGCTTTGAGTCCCCATGGGGGAGAAAAGTGGGTTATAAAATGAAGCAAATAAGTACATAAAAATAACTGTTGAAATAAATGTCATTAGTCTTTAAGGCGCCGCTAGATTTTTGGAGACCCCGGCCAATGTCCCCTCTAAGCTGTGGAGTCTTGTGAGCAACAATTCTACTTCGTGAGCTACTGGCATGAAAGTTGTGAGCGAGCGATTGGGCTGCTGCATACATGAGTTTCCTCTGGAGACATCCCCCTTGAGCCAAGACAAAAATGTGTGAGCCGGAGGCTAAAAAACTGTGAGCTAGCTCACACTAACTCAGCTTAGAGGGAACACTGACAACCCCCCCAGCCTGTCTCCCTTTTTCCGAGCGATGGATCTGTTATCAGCATTTCACGCAGGAAACGGGCGCCAGGGGGCAGACAAGGTTCTGTTCATTCTTGTCTTTTCCGTCCCGCAGCTGTCCATGATTGTCAAGGAAATCTACAACCACCTCTCCACCATCCGCGATCCCGTCACCAAGGAGGAGACCATGAAGGCCATCTGCAACCTGGCTTGCAAGCGCCTCAACGGAGTCGTGGACTGCCTTCTGGAAAGCTCCGTGGAGTGTGACAAGTAGGGACCTCGAGGAGGCGGGCCAGCTCCTCGTGATGGGCTGTGGGGCTGGGATGTCCCTGGAGATCTGGGGGCGGAGCCTGGGGAGGGTGGAGCTTGGGGAGGGAACTCAGCAGGGGTGGGAGGCCTGAGAGCAGGGGTCCCCAAGGCGGTGCCCGTGGGCACGATATCATTCCTGGCACCCGCCAAGTGCTTTTAGAAAGCGGGCGGGGCTAGACGGGGCTTTCCTGAGCACGGCTTCTGATTGGCCATCGGCGTTTCGAGTGGCTTTGCGGGTTTTTAGAAACACAGCCTCAAATAGGTTGGGGATCCTGCCTTAGAGTCTATCCTCTCAAGATGTCGTTTTCTCCAAGGGAACTGGTCTCTCTAGCCAGAGCCAGTTATTACTCAGGGAGAAGTTCAGCCCCCATATGAAGAAGAAGAGTAGGTTTTTATACCCGGATTTTCTCTACCTGAAGAAGAAGAAGAAGAAGAAGAAGAAGAAGAAGAAGAAGAAGAAGAAGAAGAAGAAGAAGAAGAGGAGGAGGAGGAGGAGGA